TGTAAACACGGAAGTGTGTGTGTGGTTAGTTTGAATCGTTACACTGAGTACTTATAATTACTGATGATAAGGGGTGCTTAGCTTGAAACTATTCAGTATCTATGTAGGCCTCTCTCTCTCTCTCTCTCTCTCTCTCTCTCTCTCTCTCTCTCTCTCTCTCTCTCTCTCTCTCTCTCTCTCTCTCTCTCTCTCTCTCTCTCTCTCTCTCTCTCGCTCGCTCTCTCCGACAACAAGGTGGTAAGGCGTAGGATTGAAGAGAATGAAACGTCTGAAACACGTTAAAATATTTACGTACAGGCATCTAAGTTCTCAGGGCCTTTGGCCCGCCAGACATCTGGATTTGAAGGAATGAGATCCACATGAATACCACACACTCGCGCGCTCTCGCTCACACACACATATACATATAATTTGTTTTCAACATCTTCCGAATAACCAATTTTCACCATGATTCGTCCAACCTTCGGATATGCCTTCACAACCCCTCCTCTCCCCCCCCCCCCCTTCCCCCCCCCCCTTCCCCCCTTCCCCCCCCTCCCCTCCCACCCCCCTCCCCACCCCCCCCTCCCTACCCTCCCCACTTCCCTTCCCCCTCCCCTCCCCTACCCCCCCTGCCCCCTCACTTTTCTACCTTAGATCATTTTTGGCTATTGAGAAACACACTCCCGTGGATCAACTTCACTCCGGCGTCTGCCTCAGCCCCGTCATGTGGATATACCTGTCACGGCCAGACTCCGTGGCAGCTGGAGATATTGGATATTTACGTTAGCCCGGTATGGCCGTTTGTTTTGACTCGCTCGAACAGCTTCACAACTCTGCACTCGCGATGCAAGTGACGTGATTGCTCCGAAGGCAGAGTAAGAGGTGATTATGCTATCTTTGTTTCACCTCCTTCAATATTACTTTTTTTCTTTGGGGAGGTTCTTGGGTTTGTTTACTTTTATAGAGCAGGGAGGGGAACTATCAGGAGAAAGCGACAAGCCGTTACGACTATATATAGCACTGGGAAGAGGTCAGGATAAGGATTTAATGATGAGACCCGGGGGGTGGGGGGGGGGGAAGGGAGGAATAGTATCCAACGACTTGGACGGTCGGGGATTGAACGCTGACCTGCATGAAGCGAGATCGTAGGTAGGATGGATGCTTGTTTGCATTTGTTCGGTAAATAGTGATTGTAGCTGTATTTGTACTAGTACCCCTGGCCTGTAGTGTTCCTGTAGGTATGTATACACAGTCACCCTCAGTAAAACTTATTTTGGCGTTGAGAAATGTTCGAGTTATACATGATACTCCTTGCAAAAGTTGCTTTATATATAGTTTCTGTTTATGAATTTATGTATACTTGATATACTCCAGGAGCAGATGAATTTTGCATGCATACACGAGGCCGGTTTTTAGCCAGATTTGATTCGCTCTCACAGCATACTCATTCTGTATAATTTATGGCTTGCAGTTATGCTACTTGCAACACCGATTTGCATAACAAGCTGAGGCACGGGAAATCGTGCCAAACTGATAACCTTCACAAGAGGTGCCACAGATGGTGTCTTGAATGGTAGCAAAGATGATTATTTCAATGGTACTGCGAATGGTTTCTTAGATAATGGCACCGTTAGTTTATGGTTTCTTCAAATGGTACCACGGATGGTTTTATAATTGATGCCATGAACAGCACTGTGAATGACAGTATTAAAAATGGTGGCTGCCAAGGATTGCGCAATACATGCTTGGGACCGTGGCTGGTGCCAACAATGGCGGTGCCATTAGTGATGCGATACTCATTGTAATTTATAGTGCCATCCGTGATTTAATTTATGATGTAATAAATGGCGGCGTTGCTTTTGCAAGAGATAAGGGGCGTTGGGAGGTCTACAAAGTATCTCTGGGAGACGGAAATACCTGCTGAATTAGATCTCACCAATTGTGAACTTTGTTAGTATAAATATTTACATACATGAGGACACTATATGTCATTGAATGTGAAGATAATTGTTGAAGAGTTTAGAAACAACTCTATCACCAGTATTCAAGAAACGCCAGGGATCATTTATTACACAAAATGATATCCAGCTATCCCAAGTTTACCTGTTGAAGATAGCCAGCTATCGCAAGTTTACACAAAAATCTAAGTTATCTGTTTACCGGTTGGTTAGGTTAGGAAGGGTGGGAGGTGCCTGATGTCCGTGCTTCTTTAGTTAGGTTAAGACGATGGAATTTGTACGTTCTGGCAAATTGAGAGACTCGGTTGACAGAATAGTGGGGCTCAGTTGCTGGATCCAACTACCAACCACTGTAGCATTTATGTACACAAGTTCAAACTAACCAGACAATGAATAAACCGTTAAAGTATATGTTTAACAAATTCTGTAACTAGCGCCATCGTTGCTGTAACTTGTTTAGCTAAGCGAATGAAGGATTTTAGCTCCTAAGCCCACTATGTGCCTCTGTAGCCTCTGTAGCCTCACATGATTGATATGTAATGTATGATAAAGGAACTAAAGTGATGCTGAAAATTTGTATTATTTGTGAGAAGGAAAGGTGGAAGGGGAGAGGGTGAGAGACAGACATAAAGTCTCACCCAGATACAGAGACAGACACAAAAATCGTGGCCAGCACATCAATTACTCTCTACTGCTGCTGGTGTCTGCCAAAAATTCCTTCGCCAACAAAGATTCTTCAGAAATCTATTGTCCGAGTACAAATTTACGCAGATGGACAAAAATGTGAGAAATTATGCCTTTCTCACCATTATACGTTTGGCACAGAGCTGGTGTGTGAATGTGTGTGTGTGTGTACGTGTGTGTGTGTATACGTGTGTGTGTGTGTGTGTATACGTGTGTGTGTGTGTGTGTATGAGTGTGTGTACGTGCACGTGTTCGTGTGTGTACGTGTGTGCACGTATGTATCCATGTCAAACTAATTGAAGAACCCACGAAACCCACAAAACATATCCACTGACTAAGAGCAAGACACATATACAACATCATCTTACAAGAAATACAATCATAAAGTTACTTGATTTATGGATGTAATATTAATAATTCGTGAATCCCCCTCGCATCGTTTCCCCTTATGCACGTCCCCCCTTCTCCCCCATTCTCACCTCCCCTCCCCCTACTCTATCTCCCCCCCCCTCCCTTCCCTTCCCCATGATCCCAGCACCAAAGTTCCATTCAGTGCGGTGATCGAAGGACCTATAAACTATTCTCTTGACCTAATCTTCTCAGGGCATACATAATCACCCAGCGCTGTTTGCCAGGGGCTCTGAATGCTGCCCTGCGAAGTGGCTGAGAGCCTTGATGAGAGAGAGAGAGAGAGAGATAAGTCAATAAGGTTAAGTAGGAGTATAGGGAGTAATATTAAGTAGAATGAAATTATTCACTCAAGTGCAGATGATGAGTCACAATAACGTGGCTGAAGATATAAAGACTAAATCACACACCAGAAGATGAGGAGATGACAATAATGTTCACTCAATAATTCAGCGGAGGGGAACGTAAAAGTTTTATTGAAATTACTACTTTCCAGACTTTTAATGGAGATTCATATTAAGGAGGGTATATATCTATCTTTTCCTTCCTCTCTCACACATACACAGACACACACAGACATACACACACACACACACACACACACACACACACACACACACACACACACACACACACACACACACACGCACATGAGCTAAGGTTCTTTGGTTGAGCTCTGGCTCTTTGTGTGTGTGTGTGTGTGTGTGTACTTAGTGGACTCACCTACTTGTGTTTGCGGGGGTTGAGCTCTGGCTCTTTGGTCCCGCCTCTCAACTGTCAATCAACTGATATACAGATTCCTGATCCTACTGGGCTCTATCATATCTACACTTGAAGCTGTGTATGGAGTCAGCCTCCACCACATCACTGCCAAATGCATTCCACCTGTTAACTAATCTGACACTGAAAAAGTTCTTTCTAACGTCCCTGTGACTCATTTGGGAGACTGAGTACCCCTACAATCACTATATGAATATACACTCTATATACTCTACAGTCACTATATATGCTCGATCAGGGTTCAATATATCGGTGTTTGCTATGGGGAAGCTCAAGGATAGATCAGCTGTTTACTGACTCTTTGGCAAGTTACCATATTAATATTTCTTTCATATTTCATACAAATTATTCAGATTCTTTAGTGAATTTCCATACCCAAATTGTGTTTGTTTATGCGGGCGCTGTGATCGTAAGTTGAGGGATTTTATGTTGAGATGTAAATTTAAAAGTCTTGCGGAGGAGGGTCTCGAATGACAGCATTTTCTCTATAAAAGTGAATTTTAATTTGAGGATGCCAAGGGCATACAAACGCACCTTACGTATCCTTGTGTATATTGCCTCAGTAAAGTATATATCATTGTCTTTTTGTTCAGCCCATTCTCCTGTTTTATTAGTACTTATAGTAACGATGAGGACTATATTATATATTCTGACTTACAACGACATTAGAAAGTAGAAATCGGCACTAGTGAGTTGGACAAACCGGAAAACTATTTTTTTCTACTCGAGTTGCAAAGACAAACTAACCTAACCTAACCTAACCTAACCTAACCTAACCTAACCTTCCTAGCCTTAATACACGATATCAGAGGCCTAATATAGTATAGATGTGTGTTATACTAGGGCTAGAAATATTCAAGTTAGTTTTTAAGCTTCATTTTTTTTAAAGAATTCCTTACGAGTCAGTACTATTATCTAAAGTACGTACAAATTCGTGACTATTGAGGATCGTCATAATAGGTACTATCTAAACAGGAGGATGGGTTATCTTGGTTATCTTGTTGCTGATAGTGGTGATTTTTAATGTTTATTTTATCTTCATCAGAGTTAAACTTGACTGGTTGCGGGGTTTTGTATTTTCTTGAATCTGGTGTTTCATTTTTGTTTATAATAATAGATACTATATAATATATATATATATATATATATATAATATATATATATATATATATATATATATATATATAT